TCGAGACATGTGTCACGAAGAGGAGGAAGCGGTTGTGGATGCTGGTAGTGCACGTCGTGAACGCTGTTGTGCAGCGCCGACCACATACAGGAGGCGATTGTGGTGAACTGCTTTTTCAGAAATAAGAGAATGGACCCAGCAAGGGGTCACTATCCCGAATCAGTGACAATTTCAAGTAATTAGAGAGGAGTTGGATCGCCCGGCGCGGATGCCAGTTGCCTGAGGTGGATTAGCCATGACGAGCAACACCCCGTATGAGACCACGATGGATCTGGTATGAGTGATGTACGGAAGGCAAGATCCACCAAGACATTTCTCGGATCCACCCTTACCTGGATTCACTTAGGTGGATATAGGATATACTATGTAACGGTGGATCGAGTGTGGATCCTATGAAGGAATGGTGGTAGGTGTCATCTGAAGGTGGATCTGGTATCCACGACTAATGAGAAGTCAGGATCCACCGCGAGATGTCCCGGATCCCATACTTCCGAATTCGGATCCAAGCAGGGAGGATCCCGCATAGGACGACCTGGATCTGGGACACAGGGATGATGGATGCAGTGGATCTCGAAGTTTCGTGGGACAATGAAGATCACAGACAGTCGCAAGACGATGTTGGATGATTGGAGAGCTCAGATCCGTGACGAGCATACACATACAGTGAAGTGGATCCAAGCAATCTGGATCCGGATGAGTGTACCCATAAAAGGGTGACCATAATGATTACGCCATGGACCCGGTGGATCTGAGGATAATACAGCTGGGATGATGAATCAAGGAGAGAAAGAACATGCAGCCGAGCCTGGTAAGGGATTTATCAGGTAAAAGACACAGAAGGTAGAATTCCAGGCAGGTATAGGCTTAAGTATCAATACAGACTTCTATTTGCGCAGTAACACGCAAGTGCCTTCTTGCCCTCAAGAACCGGAACTACATTGGCCGTACGAGCTCGGAGAAGGTTGGGAATTGCGAATCTAGTGTTGGTAGCGACAACTGGATAATACATTGGCCAGATCCTACAACCTAGTGAGCTTTTTCTTTACACGTGCAAATCCGTCAGGTTAACCGGATTTACTACTTGGCCGGCAACACCCTAGAGGTTCTCAACTCTCAAGATCCCGTCGCAGGAGGCGGCAAGTACGACGCAAAGAAAACGCAAAGGCAAGGGAACACACCCGCAAGACAACCCTACGGCCAGATCCACGATATAGGCCCTGGATCCACCAAGCTTGAATATTCGCTTAGGATCCAGAACCAACCACGGACGCAGAGTGAAGATATTACCACTGCTGCTCCACCCCATCCCCACGTCTCGCCAAGACACTCAAGCTTCACCACTTGAACTCTTCGGAAGTTACCAAGAGAGCAAGATCCCGCCCTACCGACGGGTACACCAGGTGAGGAAAGTTCAGCAGAACACGGATCATCGGGGGACCCCCTCCGTTAGTCGGTGTCTGGGCCCAGTTGGTAAGTTGGATCCAGCAATCTCGCAGATTTTGCTGATCCCCGTACACCACATCTCTCGCTTGCCGAGGGTCTTGCGCGTGCTAAGGCCTCCAAAGCCGAAGGTGCCAAGTCCTCTAAGAAGCGTACAGCTTCTAAGTCTCCACTCCGCGAGGAGAAGGAGACTCGGCACTCCCATCGGGGCCTCTTCGACTCCTCGGATGAAAAGGAGGAGAAGGAGGAAGAAGAGAAGGAGGAGGGTGCTATCTCTGAGCCCCGGGAGGTCACGAATGACCTCGACCAGCAGCAGGAGGATTTCCAAGCTGCCCAGCGTGTGCGTGGGGGTTCGGTGGTGGCACCCATCAGCCAGGGAGCTGCCATCAACGCAAGAGGGTATTGGCCTCCCGAGGAGAGCTCTGGGGCTGACCTCTTCCTAGAGCTTCTCGTCGCTCCTCGTGGTCTTGTGGGCGGACACACTTCTAGGGGCATTTACGAGCGTGCCCTTGTTCAGAAGGAACAGTTGTTTGCTGACAACTTGGAGGCTGCTCGGTGTGTGCGTCTCGCGTCACACCGCATCCCCCTTAAAGACTTTACGACTTGTCGTTAGAAGCCCGAGACCCGGGGTGGTATCTATCCTCTTTGGGGATACCCCTAGGTCATGCCCGAGAACGGTCCCAACTGGGACTCATGTGAGGGCATGTTCTGGGCTTGGGTGGAGTCTCTCAAGTACTCACCCACGGAGTTACGGAGCTCCATGAAGATCAGCTGCTGTCCCGCATCCTGGACCAGCGTGATCTTCGCGTGAGGTTTGCCCACATGGTCAGCAAGCGCATGCTGCCAAGGGACATTCTAAAGCGAGCGGCTTCTAGCGCTCACGATGAGCGCGGATACGGAGTGTCGTCAACGTCCGTACCCCGTTCGGGCAAGAAGCCCCGGACTACTTATGAAGCTGCCGCCGCTTCTGTTCCCAGATTGCGACAGCCTTCGAGCAGTCAATCCGGAGCCGCTCCATCGGCTTTCATGAGTTCTCGGAGTGGGCATAACCCCTCCACTTCACGAGGAGCTGTCGCTTACCGCGACGCCGTTGCTCCTGGAGGATCCGCTCCACGTGGAAATGGACTTCTCCATTCTGGTCAAGCAGGGGCGGAGGTGCCCTCGTACGAGTACGACTACTCGGCGCCTCCCGAACGCCACTCTCGTCCGAGTGCTTCTCCTGCGGGACCGACACAGGGCCTTGAGGTTGACCGCCTTCGTCAACGCGTCCTCGTGCTTGAGATTGCACTTGGC